ACTGTGGGGAGACAAAACACACCACGACGGTGCTCGCTTACTCCTATACACAGTTAACGAACAAACCCTAACCCCCAAAATAGGAAAATCGAGACATGGGAGTGGAAAAGGAAATTCTGACGGCCGGAAACGGTCCCAAACCGGTCCCCGGACAGAAAGTCACCGTCCACTGCACTGGTTTTGGTAAAAATGGTGATCTCTCCCAAAAATTCTGGAGGTACATTTAAAATTTTTGTAGAGTTTCAATTATATTGTGTGTGCGCCTTATATATACGGATGTTAACATTAATTTAGGTAAGTAACCATTTAAATTTGAAATTTTGGGTAATAGCACCAAGGATCCAGGGCAGAAGCCTTTTTCTTTCCAAATTGGCCAAGGAAAAGTTATCAAAGGTACCTTTTTGGGATAATTTAAATTATGTTTTAATTTTTCTGTATATGTTTTTCTGTCTGTGTTGCTTGTATTATCTGTAATGGATGATATGGATTTGATTGTGATAGGAATGAAAGAGAATTAACTGAATGGAAATGTGAAATGGAAGTATAGTTCTTCCCTGGGTTTGACTAAAATTTGGAAGAGCTTAATGTATTTAGGTCCATGGATGGTATGAGATATATGGCTCTGTAAAATTCCTAGAGAAAAGCTATTTCTAAACATTTGATTGTGAACTAGTTCTATCAGTGTCGTCTTTTACAGTTTGTGGAAACGGGTTGTTCAATTTTGTTGCAGATTTCGAGTGAAGAAATATTTTCATGCATTTTTAATTAATTTATTTCTTCTTAACTCAATTTGGAAACGGGTTGTTTAATTTTTCGCAGATTTCTAGTGAAGAAATATTTTCTTGCATTTTTAATTAATTTATTTCTTCTTAACTCTATGTTGTATTAATTGGCCAAATCCACCATGTATTGTAACTTGTATCATAAAGATGATGTTTTATTGTATATTCTATTTAGCAAATGCTTTTGCTAGCTTGGAAAAATGCTTTTTGGAATTGCTGACTGAAATTTCGCCTGTCTTAAGTTCAATTATGCTCCACCTTTTTTCACAGGATGGGATGAAGGTGTGTTGGGAATGCAACTGGGAGAAGTTGCTCGATTATGGGTAATATTCACATGCTTCGTTTAATTATTATGTGGATAAATGTCATTTGCTTCATTTAGTCAACCCAATTTGCATTTAATGACTATAGCTCTAGTTCAGAAATTGGTGGTGGGATGACACGTTTTGAGAACATGCCAGACATTTACCTGGAAACTAGTCACAATCTATTCTTCTTTTGTTCTTAAGCTCTGAATTTCTGCTTCTCTGTTGTTCAAACTTTTATAAAAGCGAGGAATACTTAAGCGTCGAAATGAACTCAACTCATTGATTCGAGTAATTGTTTAATTGTGGCATCTAGGGTTAATGCCATCAATAAATTGGAACAACTTTGTAAATAAATCTTCGATATAGAAATGAAACCAATTTGAGCTAGTTTCTAATTCTAGCTCACTTGTGGAACATTTTTTATCTTGGGTTTCTATCGTGACTTACTACTTATGTATTTTATTAAGGTCCTGTTTCGTACACATTATTTTTTTCATTTTCATTTTTCTACTCATTTTCAACCACACATTCTTCAATAAAATAATATTTTTCATCACATCAATAACTTTTCCTTCATTTTTAACCATACATTCTCCATCAATCTACTATTCAATAATACATTCTTTCAAAAGAATGTGTCCCAAACACACTCTAAGTTTTTTTCTACAGTAATTCTCAATGCACCCTCTCTCATGCTTTCTTACTCCCGCAACTATTGTGGATCGTACTTCAGTTCTTCATTGTAATTGAAGTTCTCAAGTAGGATGGCAACTTTTGCTGGACCAACCTTTTTTCTGTTTTTCTTTCCTTTTTTCTTCTTGTTATTGTCATTATTATATCATCCATCTTTCCTCACTGTTATTGGAATTCATCATTGCTTAAGATCAATCCAGTCTTTTCATTTTCCAAGTGATTGTTCTTCCCTGCTTGCGTAATTAATCTCTTGCTAAATCTATAGTTAACTATCTAGGAGGTGGTGTTGATTTTAGCTTTATTAATTTTTTACAGTGCTCTCCCGACTATGCCTATGGTTCTGGCGGATTTCCAGCATGGGGTATTCAGCCCAACTCAGTTCTGGTTTTTGAGATTGAAGTTTTAACTGTGGAGTGACTGGCATATCAGATTTATTGAGTGATTGAGGAAGTTTGGTTACTTATGTTTAATAATCATGATTGTTGAACGTGCTACATGACTTGTTTGGGAATTGATCTTGGTTGATGCTTCTACCATGCATGAAGCTATTCTCTTAAGAGTCATTCATCGATCTTTCTTATGACCATAAATGAATTTCTTTTTACTAGTTTGGTTTATTACTAGATCTACTTGAAGAACAAGATCCTGAGCAACTTTGATTGGATGAGTTAGTATTATGATTCTTTATGTAAGTTTCAACAAAGTCTGAGTGCTTATTGTCAACCTATGACAACTCCCCTTTGCACGGGATTGGGGCTAGCCACAGAGAACTTAGATGAGTTGGTTTCCGGGTACTATTTTCTTCTCCGGAAATAGCTCTCAAATGTTCAAGAAATGATCTGGTAAATGGGACGTTTTCTCTAGTATTTCCATATTGAAGATTTTATATTACTGGAAAGTGTGGAAACCATTTTGCCTATAAAATTCGTTTGAGCAAGTCAAATTAAACAAGTTTTTTGTTATGTTTCAAAATGCAAACTTAAGGGGCGGTTCTCTTCGTGTTTCAATTTTTAGTTCTGAGTTTTGAATTCATTTTAAGTTCTATGTTTTGAGTGTCAATTTTGAGATTACTGAAATGCTTTCTTTTTCTCATTTTGAAAAATTGTTTTCAAAAATAAAAAAATGAAGTTTTGGCTTGATTTTAACTGAAAACAATCAAAATGACTTTTTTTGATGTTTTCCGTTTTTTTTTGTAAATTTTAAACTTGTTTTTGAAAATTCCTTTATGAAAATAGGTAATTAAATGTGTTTTCAGTGATCTCGAAAACTGAAAATTGAAAATAGTTTGAAAACAGTAAAGAGAATATGTTGTAAGTTTTTGACCATAGATTGCTCGAATGGATGAAACTCTTCCCCGTCAATAGATATACTAAGATTTTGTGTACATAGTGATTCAAGGGCATCTGAAAAGATTTCAGTTTGAAGAGCAAAATGCCCAAACACTATAATGATGCTTCAATTTGATTTCAACGTAGTTTATACAAAGCATGCGTGTAGGGAGAACCGAACTCTTTCCTTGATTTTCAGATAGTTGAAAGTGGAACCCTGCCTTTTTAATTGTGGAATTTTGACACTAGATACGAAAACAAAAATAACTGGACTGATGTGCCATTAGCAGCTTCTCAGGATGCTCGATAAAGGACGGAAATTGGTGTTAGACTGAGATAAGTATCCTCTCAAGTCTTGAGCATGCAATTCTTTGAAATTCCTGAGGGAAATGACAGACATGGATGATTGAACCAATTTCAAATAAAAGCTTCAGAAGTAACTCCGATAAGAGAAAATGGATATGTGGGATGCCTAATAATATGAAATGTGCAATATTCGAAATCAAGATCACCTGATAAAAAACTCAAAGGATAACTGAGTAGGGAAGTTGTTTTCTAGCAAACATTCTAGCAGCTACCATTCCAGCAGCCAATGCAGCTCCAAATAAAGTGTGCAATCTCACACAGTAATACTTGGCCATGAAGATCTTTGTTTTGTCCTGTCACATATTAATTTAGAATCCATAATTTGAAATACCAATTGACCCCATATATAGAAATTATGTTTGGAAATATCAAATTGAAATCTTGGAATCAGAATGTTTTAAAACAAACTAAAGTGTTCCCTTTGTAAATACTAGAGCTTTTAACTAGATTATTCAACATGGCATCAGAGTGCTAATTTAAAGTCTTGCCACCACTAATTTATGAAAATTGTACACTGGCACACGAGTATAGTGCCTAGTGATCGAAGGATGCAATTTACTTTATATGAAACTAGACTTAGGGCCCATTTGGTATGATTTTTGCTTTTGCTTTACTTTCTGTAGAAGAGTTTTGAGAGGAAACTATCTTAATTTTTGTTTGAAAACTAATTTTTGAAAGAGTTCCAATTCCCCGCTTTTAGAGGAAGCCACATTAGACAGTTTTTTCAAAAAACTCTTCTAATTAGAAGAAACACTTTTATAAAAATTAGCCAAACGGACCTAAAAACAGCTCTTGAGTCTCAAAACCTCATGTTGACTTCTCAAAAGTCATGCCAAAAGAGCCCTTAGAATATACAAAGCATTTATTATTCATTAAATTACACAATACTAGTTTCGGTCCATGCGATGCATGGAACTTATAATTTCGAAGGTTTTGTTAGCAATGAATATATAATGTATATTGAATAATGTAGAAAGTTTAAATACGAGAGAATATTGAATAATTAAAAAGCATTTGAAGCAACATATTTTGTTAATAATTGTGTATGCAATTATAAGATTATTTTCTCAGTTTAAAAAGTATTGATCTAAACAAATATTAGTTGTAATTTTCCGTATATATATAGTCATTTTGTCTGCTGAAACTGTCTCTATTGGATATCCAAACACGAAGCATTCTATGTATTTGAGCACAAAAATGCCGCAGTTTGGCCCGTGGAAAAAAATTTGTTTATGTTAAACGAAATTAGTGTGATAAATAAATATTTGGGAATGACATTTTAGAAAGAATAAGAAATAATTAAAATGCTTACCCTTTAGATGACTCGATTATTAAACTTGTACTTTATGAATTTATATTTATATTAGACATGTACTATATATATATATATATTTTTTATTATTAGTTACATTGA